AAAGCTGAAAACATGCAGGTGGAGAGACATTAATTTGCTGGAAAAATTAACTACAGATATGGAGAAACCCAAGAAGAGGAAGCCAAATAACGATCTGAAAAAAAAAAAAAATCATCAGAAGTTCGAAAAAAAAGCCAAAGAAAACATATGTAAAATGAAATATGAATAAAAATACTACAGCTACAGGGTTTGGAAAATAACTATAGCTGGGGATTAAAAAGCGTACCTCCGCTTTTAGCTGACTTCTTAATGCTCAAAGCTGAAAACATGCAGGTGGAGAGACATTAATTTGCTGGAAAAATTAACTACAGAGATGGAAGAGTAACCGAAGAAGAGGATGCCAAATAACGATCTGAAAAATAAAAAAAACATCAGAAGTTCGAAAAAAAAGCCAAAGAAAACATATGTAAAATAAAATACGAGTAAAAATACTACAGCTACAGGGTTTGGAAAATAACTATAGCTGGCGATTAAAAAGCGTACCTTCGCTTTTAGCTGACTTCTTAATGCTCAAAACTTATAACTTGCAGGTGGAGAGACACTAATTTGCTGGAAAAATTAACTACAGAGATGGAAGAGTTACCCAAGAAGAGGATGCCAAATAACGATCTGGAAAATAAAAGAACATCAGAAGTTCGGAATAAAAAAAAGCCAAAGAAAACATATATAAAATGAAATATGAGTAAAAATACTATAGCTACAAGGCTTGGAAAACAACTATAGCTGGGGATAAAGAAGCTACCTTCGCTTTAAGCTGACTTCTTAATGCCCAAAGTTGAAAACATGCAGGTGGGGAGACATTAATTTGCTGGGAAAATTAACTACAGAGATGGAAGAGCAACCCAAGAAGAGGAAGCCAAATAACAACCTGAAAAATGAAAAAAAATCAGAAGTTCAAAAAAAAAAGCCAAAGAAAACAGATGTAAAATGAAATATGAGTAAAAATGCTATAGCTACACGGCTTGGAAAATAACTATAGCTGGGGGTTAAGAAGCGTACCTTCGCTTTTAGCTGACTTCTTAATGCTCAAAGCTGAAAGCATGCAGGTGGAGAGACATTAATTTGCTGGAGAAATTAACTACATAGATGGAAGAGTAACCCAAGAAGAGGATGCGAAAGAGTGAGGCTCCGAATGGTTGATAGCTAGTAGGAGATGGACGAATTGTTTTTTGAGAGAGAATGTTTGGATTGGTATCAAAGGAAATGCGTGATGACTTCTGATTTCTTATTACTATACCATAGCAAAAGATAAAGGCAATGGAAAAATCCAAATGTTATTGCATTTAAAAGGTTAAATACCTTTTTTGGTCCCTCTACTATAAGAAAAAGCCCCTTTTTGGTCCCTATACCAAAGAAATCCCTTTTTTGGTCCCTAAATTTTAAAATCCGGCCCCTTTTTAGTCCCTTCGTCAAATTTTGCTCGCGTGGCCCGTTAACTTAACTGGAACAGCTGACGTGGGTATGCCGACCTGTACAAAATGCTTACGTGGACTTTTGACACCTTCCACGTCACTGCCACGTCACTCTCCCGCGCTCGGAAATGAAAAAAACCATAAACAGTGGGCCCCACATTCTGAAATACGCGGTAAATATAAGTCGATTGTCCCTGAACCCTACCAGAACATAACCCTTAATTCTCCAATTTTTTTTTTCCAGTTCCCTGTCCAGAAATCATCTTCTTGCTTTCGAAACTCTTGTTTTTTCGTTCAAAATGGATGGTGGGCTTTCGCGAAGCAACTCGTTCACTGATTCTGCATCAACTAGCAGCTTTCTTGGAAAAAAATATGTTTGCAGGTGCGGTTTGGATGCTGTTTTGAGAACGTCACTGACTTACCAAAACATGGGAAGAAGATTTTGGGGATGCCCTAAATTCGAGGTGAGCTGTTCATGTTTAGAACGAAAATTTTTGAAAAAACCCTAAACTACTAATTTCATGCTATTTAGGTTGGGAAGGTTGGGAAGGCTGGGAATGCATGCGATTTCTTCCACTTTCTTGATGGTGATGAGGTGATTGAGGGAAGAGCCAGGGATCTCCTGCTACGACTTAAAGATAAGCAAATTAGGCTTGAGAAAGAGATTCAAAGTTACAAGGAAGAAAACGAAAATCTTATGGCTGAAAAGGCGAAACTGTTGCAGGAAAATGCAGACTTGATGTCCGAAAATGGGAAATTCTTGCAAGAAAATGGTGACTTGAAGGTCCAATGTGAGGCATTCGTTAAGAATATCAAAGGCTTGGAGAAGAAAGTGAAGAGGAGTGAGAAGATATGTGTCAGAGCACTTATAAGTTGTCAAATATTTTGTGTGGTTTGCATTGTCTGTCTTCTTGTGTCTGTGTTTATTGGGTTGCATAGATTGCATTAACATTGTTGGGAAAACTGGGAAAATGACAGCATGGGACTACTGTCTTTTGTGCATTATTTGCCTTTTTGCCTTTTTATGTAAAAGGAATGTAATTCGTTCCCTATATAAATGGCACATGGTCTATTAATTTGATATATTCACTGTACAAGTTCAATTTCTTACTAGCAAATACACAGCAAAATGTAATTCTCAACCAAAACACGACTTTTCAGTCAAGAACAATTTTTGATTCCAGAAGGTTAAATCCAAAATATTTGCACCATTTACATCAGTCTGGATATCAAAGGTGTACCAACATACATACAACCTGTCCCATGAAGCCATCATATGCACAACAGCATATACACCATATACAAAACAGGAATTCGCATGAAGTTGTCTAAGTTTACATGTAATGATAGGTTAAATGACAAAAAACAAAAAAAAAGCTTCATTTCTAATGCACCAGTCAACTTCAAATGGCAAAAAAACACAACCATCTTCATTTCTAATGCACCAGTCAACTTCAAATGGCAAAAAAACATAACCATCTTCATTTCTAATGCACCAGTCAACTTCAAATGGCAAAAAAACACAACCATCTTCATTTCTAATGCACCAGTCAACTTCAAATGGCAAAAAAACACAACCATCAACACCTTCACCCCCTAGCACCTGACTGTCCACCTTTCCTTGGTCTAGTAGCTGATGAGGTTGATCCTTTCTTTTGCCTCTTCTTCCTCTTTACTGTTTGTGAACTTTTTTCCTGCTGCATTGAGGATTTTTAGTATTCTGAAATAAACAATAATAAAAGCAATCAAGAATTTAAAATATAAATAGCCCTCACCACGGTAGGCCTTTGACTACCAGATTTCTTTTCTCTTTTCCTCTTCTCTCCGGTTCTTCGCTCTTGGACAGGTCTTCTTTCTTCATTAACCACTTGACTTGCAGGATCATTAGCTTGGCTCACTGGGTTGTTATCATTCAAGTTCTCAGTGGCTTCAGTGGCTTCAAAAGCTTCATTGTTTCCAGCTTCCTAAATAACAGTAAAATCAATTTGTCAAAAACATAATAATAATTACAAACATAATTTGTAACATGTTACATATATAAAAATCCTTTATAGAATTCTTAAGTTGTCAAATATTAGTACTTACAGTGTTAGGAGGCTGTCCTTTACATGTCCTTGAATTGTGCCCTCTTTTGAAGCATTTTTTACAAGTCATCACCCTTCCTTTCCTAGAGAGTGATGTTTGCCCTTCCCATTCTTCTAACACCCTTTTTTTTCTTGGTCAGCCTGGCATTTTCTTAGGCAATGGTGGCTGAATTTGGGGCATTCTAGTTTCCTTCCACTGTGGCATCCCCTCAATAAAAGGAACTTCATATTTGTAACTTGCCAAAAACATATGCTTGCTATACCAGTGGCTTACATAGTGTTCATCTTTTTCCTTCCTCAATTTAATGACACTTACAGCATGCTTACAAGGTATGCTTGTCATGTTCCAGCACCTGCAAGTACAAGTCTTCCTGTTCATATCAACAATAAATTTACCCTTGTCTTCTTCTTCAACCTCATAACCAGCGCCACCAGGCCATAGCACCTTGCATCTCTTGCTTCCTTCCCTACTTGCAACAATCTTCTCCCATATTTTAGGACCAAAATCACCAACAAACTTCTCATCTGCAAATGTCCTTCTAGCAACAGTCCTCCTACCACACATCATCCTAAGATCTTCAAACATTGAGAAAATAGCCTTGTGCCTTGAATCAACAATTAAACCATTAAAAACTTCACACATATTGTTGTCAACTACATCTGACTTACTGTCTTCCTTGAAGAATGCCTTTGACCAAAACTGTGGGTGTACTTTTAAGACAGCAGCCCTAGCTCTCTGTTTAATGTTGGTCAATTCACCCAATGCCTTAATGAAATCAGCTTCAGTGGTTGCCTTTGCGCATTTCCAGAATGCTCTCTGCAGCTCCTTGCCTCGGTTATCCTTTCGGAAGTTGGCATATACGTGTCTTGCACATCTTCTATGTTCAGCATCTGGAAACAGCTCTTTAATTGCATTTATTAGCCCCTGCCATGCACATTATAACGTATTAAATGCCAGACAATTGGATAAAAATAAAATATTACTACAATATAATGTCCCAACTTGGTCCCTGCACTTTAAAAGTACAGGGATCAAGTTGGAACCTTAGTTAAAACAAAGAAACAAAGCTAGCAATAACCTTCTGTTGGTCTGATATAATTGTGAATCTATTGCCACTACCAATTTGCATATCTGATTGCAGTTCTTCCAAAAACCATCTCCAAGTCTCTGTCTTCTCAACCTCGACAACTGCCCATGCCAATGGGTACATCTGATCGTTGGCATCCCGTCCAACTGCCACCAGCAAAACTCCTTTATATGCTCCCTTAAGAAAAGCTCCATCAACCCTTATTACACGCCTACAGCCAGCAACAAATCCAAGTTTCATAGCGCTGAAACATACATACATTCTCATGAAAATAGGATTTGCATTTGTTGTTGGCCTTGGTGCCTGAATGAGAATTGTGGCCGCTGGATCTCTTCTCCTCAGCTCAGCAGCATAGTCCCACAGTTTACTATATTCCATCAAACAATTTCCTTCAAACACACGGGCAATTTTCTCTCTTGCCTTCTTGCATTGTTTTCCAATTAACTCCAGCCTAGTGTTTCTCCGGATGGTTTGAAAAATGTCATCTGCTTTCAAGTAAAGAGAAGCAAAACCCATCTTCCTAACCAAATACTTTGATGCACTTGTTGAGTTGAATCTCTTACTTGTCAACTCCTCACCACAGGTATGCTCATGAATATATGTCTTCACCATCCAAGAATCCGTCACCGCATCCTTTGAT